TATATATATTATATATATATTATATATGAGCATTCATTGTATTTTATTAAGCCTGTTTTTATGAGGCGTCTTAACATTTGATATGCCCGTCTGTTTTCCAAGTCCGTGAAGAAAGGCTCAAGATGACAAAATCTGCAGCCTGTACCTGTAAAAATAATTCAGCAGGGGTAGCTACCAAATTTCTTATCTGACTGGCTCCTTTTTAGTCCAGTGGTTATTTCTGGGCTTGCCATGTTGGCCTGATCATGGTTGTTTGTCCTGCTGCTTCGTGAGCATCCAGGAGACCATGAGGTGACACCAATGCTAGCCATACACAGCTCAGAATCTGCTCGATTCCTGTTGAATTAGGCAAAATTTTAGCTGATGGCGTGACAAAGGTCATTTAAGAAATCAACTGAGCTGGGTGGCAAATTGCTAGTGGAACAGCAACTGCATCCAATCAGATGTAGTCACCATTTGGGTATTCAGACAGGTTCACCTTATTTATCATCGTTGAGTTATCAGCCTTGGCTTCTTTAGTAAATCAATCCCATTGCAGTTACTTTGTGGAAGTGCAGATCTCCTCCCTGCTATAAGCCAAGTTATTCCTCAGTCCGGATCTCCAGACACTCGGGAACTTTGCACCTTAAGCCATAAAGGGAGGAGAATCCATGGGCTTAAGGTATTTTTATTTGCAAGTAAGCGTCATGTTGTTTATTATAAGGAGGAAGAGATCAGAGTTTTAACACCCACATACGTTGCAGGCTTCATATTTGTTTTGCATCCATTGCAAGAGGCCCATTTTAATATCTCAGCGCCAGCTAGATGCATATAAGCGGTGGGCTGTATGCTGTGATGCCACATGCGCCTGACATTGCTGTTTTGGGCTTGCCCGCCCTCCCAGTACTGTGACCACGCTCTCACCAACTGCTACCTGCTACTACTTATAATTGAGAGCTGGTAGGATGGGCGCCTGACCATGTGATCACTATGACAGCCACTGAGAGATATGTTGTCTGCGCACCAATGTGCTTCAGGGCCCGTTCACACCAGACACCGTGCGTTCCGGCACTGGATTGCATTGCAGCCGGCTCACTATGTTGTGTTCGTGATGGGCGATCGGCCGCACGGGAATGCAAGGCACATCAAAAAAAATAGTGCTTGCATCGTGGCCGCATTGCGGCCGGAGGGCGTGGCTACGGTGCCATTCACTTCAATGGACCGCCCCACAAGAAAGTGAGCCGGCCGCAATGTGGTCCAGTGCATTCCAGCCAGAATAGGGCTGGAATGCACTGTGTCTGGTGTGAATGGGCCCGCAGAATTGAAAAGAGGGGACTCATCAGCACGGAGATATTACGATCACTGTGGCAGCCAATCACATTGATTACACGATCAGGAATCCCAAGAAACGCCTCCAGCATGAAGATCCTCTTGAAGGGGCAGCAGGAGCCAGCGGAAAGGGGTTAAAGATCCCTCCCTATTGGTACATAGTCACCTTTCCTTTCCCGGAGCTCCAGTCAGAGCTTACTCAAGGCTGAGGACCCCCATGTGACAGCACTGGACCAATCGCCGTCAAATGGAATCACATAGTCCTTCATAGCCAGAACTACTTTCTTTGTTCCTAGTGGCTGAATGGGGGAGTGAAGGAAAGGTGAGTATGTGCAGCTGCTGGAGGCGGCATTAAAGTGCATACCTGTTGTTTTGCCCTGGATGAGAAAAGCACAGGTTAGCTTTAAAGGGTTAATTCAAAACCCCACCACTTCTCCCACCCTCTAGTTGCCACTGACCTTAAGCTGGACATACGCTGTTCTTCCTTTTTTTTGGAAGAATCTCCTGCTGTTTCCTTTTGTATTCTAATAGCTGCCTCCAGCCACTGACAGAATACCGACCGGCTCCTTCAGTCAGCTGGCCGAAAAGGCTGTCGACAGCAGCACCTACTGTGCAAATTTCGTCCGTTTCCCTAAGAACCAGTCACAATTCACATAATGTATGGCCAGCTTCAGTTGCTGTCATGACCATCTACCACTGCCCATGCCAGCCAGTTTAAAAAGTCAGACGCTTTGAAACTTTACTACACAGCCCCAGAGGCTGTATAGCATCATAACACTGGCAGTGGCAAGTGACCACATGACCTCGCTGACCAATGAGAATCTCTTCTGAGCCATCTTTCTTCGGGGACAGAAAGTTGTGAGCTCACACATTAAAATTTTTTATGAAAAGGTGAACCTCTCCTTTAAGTTGTTCAGAGATGTGAATTAATCATGGCGACCACACACCTAGGGGTCTGGCAACCGACCCTTTTTTAGGGGAACAATCGGTCAGGACAGAAAATTTGTTCCATGCGGCAATGAGTCTTTAAGGTGCATCCTCTCCAAAAAACGGACCTAGAAAAAAAAAAAGTGTCAACACACCAAGGTGTGCATGCGCATTAATTGGGTGAAGGGCCCGCTAACTTTCCAGCATGCACTAAAAATACTCATTGATGAGCGTCTGATAACGGTGAGTTCATTGTACGTGGAACGAGTAGTCTGAGCAAGGTTGTGACTGCAGTTGGAGCAAAGACTAATCTGCCCGGTTGGAAATTTCCAACAGATTCCCTATTGTGAGAGTAGAGCCAAGCCCTTGTTCTGATCGTAAAATTATTTAAAAAATTATGTATTTCAATCATCAGTTTTATAACAAAAGACTGTAATTTAATTTGTACAAATACCCTAAGGCGGACCTGTCACGTTGTAGTAGAAATAATGCTGCAAAGGAGGAGGTCGGACACTTTGGGTCTTTTAGTTGGGCAAGCTTTATTTTTGAAGCATGGAGTATAAATCCCTCTCCTCTTGGCTGGGAGGTTAGGTTGTGGGAGAGTTCGGTGTGATGGCTGCAGGGGTTCTGTAGTACTTGGTGGATCTACAATAGAAACTGGAGTGAAAAGATTGGTGACGGACTTGTCACTTTGCTTCCCACCAGATTTCTCTCTTGTTCCACCTTTTTCCCCCACTGCTTCTCAAGTGCCAGCTTACCTCTGATGCAACCTAACCTCCTGCCTCTGTCCTGCGTACATGAAGGGTAGACGCACAAAGTCCCTCACTGGCCAAACTGATGTCAGCACAGTTAGAGGTGGGATCCAAAGGGTTGTCCTGCTTAATCTCCTCCTAGATGCAGGGTACACCATTGGATTATGTGGCCGGCTCGGATTGGCAGTGAGCTGGAGGGTTATCAGTGATGGCCATGCGGATTACCCTCTTGATGATGCACCAGGGGCAGCTGCTGAGGGTGACAATGCTGCAGATGCAGTCCCTACAGCATTGTCACCCTTCTAGAAGAATAGGGAGCCACTGGGAGGGTCACCAGGTATTTGGTTTTCTAAGCCAGTTATTATGAAAAGTGCACAGTGGTTTTATTGTGATGGATCTTTCACAGATTGTTTTCCACAGAAGGTAGAGTTGCACTTTAAGAAGACCGAGATCTTACAATTTTGGTTTAAAACCCTTTCATAATGGGGAAGAATCTCCCATACAAACCTTACTTTCAACAACCCCACCTAACAGGATTTTCGTCTATTTCAAAGTGGCAGGTCCTCCTTACGACCCCTAATTGGAAACTGATCTAAACTGCTGTCCTCCCCTCTTACTCTTTTCAGCTTGTTGTCAGCTTGTGGAGGTTCTACTGAACATGCTCATCCTGATCTGCTGCTCCATATCCTACAACAGTACGGGGGGATACACAGGGATAACTAACTTGGGAGGAATCTACTACTACCAGTTCGGGGGGGCTTTCGATGGCTTTAGCGGTGTGGACGGAGTGACGGCCCAGAAGCTGGATGTTGAGTTTTACAACTTGAAGCTGCCTACCGTCACCGCTTCAATGGCATTTGGGGGAGCCCTTATGGCTTTCTGCTGCCTACTTATCCTGCTTGGGGTGCTGCGGGTTCCATGGCGATGGCCGGTATGGCTCTTGGTAGAATTTGTGTTGGATATTGCCATTGCATTTGGCTACATCCCTGCTCTTTATTTCTACTTAATAAAGCTACAGGAAGCTTATAATTCCCAAGTGTGCAAGGACCGTGAGACTCTCTATAGCAGTAAAGGCTACCAAGGCTTTACCTGTGCTTTGCATGGTGCTGATATCGCTTCCGTCCTCTTCGCTTGCATGGCCATCATTGCCTTCTTCATGAGTGCCGTGCTCGCCATTAAGGGCTTCCGGACTGTGCGCCGCATGAAAAAGAAGCCAGTCAGCACGCTTGAGTTTTAACCTAAATAATCTGCATACTGTAAATTATGGCTGGACAAATCTACATAGAACTTAGGAGCCAGCTGGGCCAACCTATGAATAATTGGTCATAAATCACACCTGTAACTTATAGCGGTATATATCATGGCAGCTCTTGGAGGTTAAGTTATAGTAGAGTTGGGTGTCAGAATGAGGTTGAGAAGTTAACAAGCAGTTAGAACGAGTTGCCGATAGAAGACTAGAAAGAGAATCCAATGCTAAAAAGTAATTCAAGTCCATCTTTCTGGTGCATCATCTCTGCTCCTGAACCACCTAACTCTACCAACACATTACCTCCTAGGGCTCTTATGGTTCTACAAATGGTACAGAGCAGCCTTTCTCAACCTTTTCACCCTAAAGAAACCCATGAAATAATGTTCAGGTCTTAGGGTAACCCTGCTAAAAATAATTACAGCTTACATTAGCAACAACACAGCAGTGGTCAATGAGAAAAGGCCTCCTTAACCTGGAGGTCAGTGGAAAGAATGGCCTTATACACCGATGGTCACTGGAAAAAATGCCCATCACAGTGGTGGTGAGTGTAGTACCCTCATACATATAGGACAAAATTCTCCTTACATTGTTAGCTATTGGGAAGAATGACCCCTGATGACACAACTAACATGATCTTTATTGTCAGTGGTCACTTACATGAGAAACAAACCCAGAAGCCCCACTGGTCCCATGCCTATGGCTCTACCAGTTGATATTAGAACTGTGAGTCAGTTCACTTCTGCTCACTGCCCAAGAAACCCCTATTAACGTCTGGAGGAGCCCTGGTTGAGAAAGGCTGGTATAGAGGCTTGGGGGACTACAATTAACCTTTAAACTTGACACTTGAGGAAAAAAAATTTGTATATATATATATATTTTTAAGAACAAAGCACACTTATATGTCCTCTATCCGTATAATTTACAGCATTGTGGTTATTGTTAACTGGTGTGCTTTAAGGAGGCCACATGCTTTGAGTGACGGCAACCAAAAAGTGCCAGAGGAGTCGGGTGCTACTAATTGATACTAATTGCTCAAAATCAGCTGGGTCCTTGGTTCTTGGGATTTGTCCAGCCCCATTGTAAATAAATGTAAAATGATATGCTGGAGATCACAGCCCTGTTTTTAGCATTTGTATTAAAGCAATAAAGTCAATATTATATACAAAACAGAAAACTCGTTCACTACTTTATTCAGCATAGATGGTATTTCTATAATGTGTTAATTATAACAAGGGAAGCTAGAATCCAATGGAATATGATTATGGAGTTGCCACGTGAATTTTCCACCTGCATTTTGGTGCAACGCCCGACATTAAACAATGCGTACACTTCCATAACTAGGAAAATCAAGCAAATTGGCAGATATAGTCCCTTACCTTTTCCCTTGCTCTTGATATCTTTTGACATCTGTACTGGGCTCATCAGGAGTCTTCTCGGGTTGAATTTTTCATTCTGTTTATTGATGAGGTCGTCACAGTAAAAGCTTCGGGGAAAGTGCCAACAGGATTCAG